CAATTAAAATAATGTCATCAGAAAAAAGAAAAGAAACTTATGGTGATCCTCTAACTTCTGCTAACTCAAAAAGAGAATAAGTCATTATTTTGATAGATAAAAAGAGAAATAAGACATTCATCAAATCCTAAATCCTAGGTTTTAGCAAAATTGACATAAACTCATAAAGCTTCTTAACACAATACCGTGGAGACCAAACAATCACTACCACAGGCTACAACCAATCTAATACTTCTTAAAAGAGTCAGCCCCAACCCTCCTCAACCATCCAATTCTGAGGAACCAAAACTAGGCTGCAACATGCACTCCTCAGAAATGGTATCAGAATTTTTAATTCACTCTCTATCATCTAATTCCATGATGACTTCTCTGGCAAAATCTTCACCACCTAGGAAGAACAGACCCAATTCCCAAGTTCTTGCTGACTTGAACTTCCTTATCAACCAACCAGTCTAATTAATCCGATTTTTTCCTTAATCTAATATCATTCTCTGCCAAGATACACTGTTTAGGATTATACCACTCTTTTCCTCTTCCATTGATTCTGTCCTGTTGAATCACATCAGTCCCCACCCCCCCTTCATAACTGTCCCAACTTGGTATAATTACAAGAATCTGAAAGCAAACTTTGAATACTTCAAAAAGATGAAACATCTAACCTTTTTCTTCAAAATTTATCCTCCAAAATTCTCAACAGCTGAAAAACTCACCAACATTAACCAGATCCAAGGTTTCATAAAAATTCCTACCTCAAGACATATTGGAAATGTCTTCCAACTTATTTCTAGAAAGTAACTCAGGAATATGTCCACTATCTCTGAATGTCTTCTCTTGTATACTCTCTTAAAGCTCTTACAAGGACCAGCTTCCTTTAATATCTTCAAATGGGAGAAAACTTTTGTTACATGAATTAGAAAGAGGGTTATGATAAAAGGATAGTGGTGTTCCTTGAGGACTTCTTCCATTCAGTGGTATGTTGGTATGGAATTGCCACTAACAAGGGAACCACATGAAATAGTCAAAGTTACACTCTTTCTTTGGAAAACATAGATTATCATTTCCTATCTTAGTTTATCCAACCTTTTTTTTTATGTTTGCAAAATATATACTGTCAACTAAATGTTCGATATCATTCTTTTATTGCATATTTGCAATTTCTATGAACTTGTATTTAAGATTTTGTCAATTTCTTGATTTTTAGGTATATTTTCCTTTGTGTTCAACTAGTTAATACCTAGGTATCAAAATAGTCGTCACATGACTTGGCAAGGAAAAAATGATTAATCATTGCCTAACTACATTGACAACACTAGTAAGATTGTAACAACATTCTACAAACTAATAATATACCATTTCTTCCTTTATACATGACATAATTCTATAATTTCTAATGGTTTTAGTCTGGTGGAGCTATGTTTTGATGCTAGGAATAGAGGTAGTCCAGAATTTAGGGTTCTCTTGTGTAATACAACAATCTATAGGTCTAACATGGTAAGCAACAAAGTGCTTCTTATAGAATGCTGCTAAGTTGCCTTCAAAACTATAAGATCACATACCACTGTGAAAACAATAGGGGGTTGTGAGAGGCTTGCAAGGAAAACTGCTAGCCTTGTTTTCTGGCCCAGTGGGGTTTGGGAACTCGCTCAAGGCAGAATTGCTTGCAGCACTACAAGGAGCACAAATTGCTAATGAAGGTGATTGAAGGAGACTCAAAATTGGTGGTGGGTTGGTTAAAGGATCCAGAATCTGTAATATGGTGCTACAGGGATGAGATAAAAAAAAAAAATCTTATGGATCACTAAGAATATGTACTTGAGGATGCAATGCGTGAGGAGATCGGCTAATGGGTTAGCAGATGCTTTGTCCACGCAAATGGTGAATAGGCAGTTTTTGTTTTGGGCTCACTTGTAATTTTTTCTGTTTTGTTTACATAGAGGTACCAGCTCGTGCCTTTCTAAGGGACACTTGTAATGCTTATACTTTCAGACTTAATAATAAAATTAATCTCATTTATCAAAAACAAGGTATTTTGTTGCTTTTTATCTCTTCTGGTCCTAGACTTCACTTCTGATGTTTCCATTTTCCACACTATTTTCATATCCTTGTACTTCTGGCTTATTATACATTTTTTTTTTTTATATTTTAGGTTATTGCTGGCTAATTATGTAGTTCATAGCTCATAGATGCTGTATCATGGTTGTTTTCATATAGTAGTAATCACTATTTATGATTTCCAGATACCCATATATGCCTAGTGTATCAGTTTTGGACATGTTACATACCTATAAGACACTAGATACTTCTTGGAAACTTGTAGATATGCTCTACAGAATTGATACTCTTAAAATATGTAAAATAGTTTGTTTTAACAAATTATAAAAAATCTGTACATGTTGGAAATTTAATTAAAGTCGGCAACATACAAGCCTTGACAAATGAAAGTCAGCTTTAAAAACTAAGATATTAAAGCATGAAATAAACAGATCATATTCGATGCCCATATCCATAGCTGGAATTCTAGAAAATGAAGAGTTGCATTCCTGTTTCCATATCAATTGTCTGTGTGAGTATCTCTGTCTGGATATCATAGATCACCACATAGCTTGTCCAATGAAATCTATTTATATTCTCACGCAGAGAACCATGGAATAGCCCAAGGATCCCTAATGATGGTCCAATTATGTCATCTTTGTTGGAATTGTGGAGGGAGTTTACTCCCTCCCCCCTCCCCTGGGCCAATCAAAAAATGAGATAAAGCATTTTCTTCATCACATAAAGGTCTCAGTGGTCATATAAGCCTTCTTCTTCTTCATTGGTAAGTGGATGGGCTAAACAATGAGATGTAGCGCTCCACCAAATTCCACAACCCTGAGGGTGGAATTTGATCCCAGGCCTCTGCTGCAACCAATAGGGGTGCTCACGGTTTGGTTAACTAAACCGTGGGTTGATTTTCTGGACTGAACTGAACTGTTCGTTTTTTCAATTTAACCAAACTGATGCAACCGGTTAACCGCGGTTTGGGTTTTTGGTTTTTTTTATGCCCTCAATATTAAAGAAAAGGGGAAAAACCTTCCCTGCCGATGGTCTGGAGAGAGTGAACACTGAACAGAACTGTGAACTGAGATTGAGATTGAGAGAGAGAGAGATGAGAGAGAGAGAGATTGAGCGAGATGAGTGACTGAGACTGAGAGAAGAGATTGAGAGAGATCAGTGAGTCTGAGTGTTGAGTGAGAGAGAGAGAGAGTGAGAGTGAGATTTCAGATTTGAGACGAGACGCCAGATGCCGGTCTGAGAGAGTGAAGGCTGAATCTGAGAGGAAACGCCAGACGTCGGTCGGAGGCTTGCCTGTCGGTAGGTCTGGTTTGTTGGGGAAGAAGAGTATGAGAGAGAGAACACAGAACAGAGAGTGAGGTGAGACAGACACAGTTGGTTGCCTGGTTGGAGTGTCGAACGTCAGTGACTCGATCGTTGGAGGCCGTCGGTGATTTGGTCGGAGGGTGGAGCACGAGAATAAAGGCTTGAAAATTTTTCGATTTTCAAGATTGAGAGATTGGCACTCTGGCAGAGGCCGAAACTCTCTTTGAAACTTTCAAAATTTCTCTTTGAAACTTTCGATTTTCGATTTTCAAAGTTTTTCAAAGAGAAAGTGAAAGTCTCTTAGACTGCCGAAATTGTTTATTCGATTTTCAAAAAAAAATAAAATATAATATATAATATATATAATATTATATAAATATATATTACTGTATATATATATATCGGTCGGTTCGGTTAACCGCCGGTTTTTTTAAATGGTTAACTGAAACCAAACCGAAACTATTAGTTTTTTAAAAATATCGTACCAGAACCAAACCGGCCGGTTTGATTAACCGATTTTCGGTTCAGTTTTGGTCAGTTTTTTCAGTTGGTTCAGTTTTTTTTTCTCACCCCTAGCAACCAGCCAGAGACCTTACCAGAAAGCTATTTGGCACTTTGTAAATTCATGGAAGCTTTGCAGTGCTTATTTTCCTTTTCTCACCTTCAAAGGAAAAATCTTTTGTACTTTCCTCTAGTTTTATATGCGTGAACATTGAAACAAGTCTGGTGCTATCAAAACTCATAACATTCACTCGGTTGAAAGAATCATTTTCATTTTGGGGGGGTGGGGGGGGGKGGGATGGGGAACCAAAGTACCAAACAGTGGACCGGCTTGCACGCTTAGGCCATACAAGTTAATAGGTATTCACATATAACTTCCCATTAGATCTTCAATATATCTGCAATATGGATTTGTGGGTTGTACTATCCCAAGATTGGTGTAACTTTTTTTTCTTCCTGATCACGTAAAGTAAGAAACTTGCTACCTTCTTTTATTATTTTATAAGACTGTCTTTTGCTCTATCCTGGTGGGTTCATTTTGTTCTCGTTTTTGCTCTATGGTGTCAAATAACTCTCTTGTCTGGCCAGAAGTTTTCCCTCAGATGGACTTGATATCCACCATCAATTGCTTATATTTAGATATAACTACTAGCATTAGATTCATTTTCAGTTCTCTATAAAATTCAGTGTGTTTTTATTAAGAGAAATGTGAAGTATCTTTAAACCACAGAAAGACAAGCATAAAAAGGGTTTTCTGCCAATACAGAAGATTTTAGGGGTGTTATGTCTTATCCTTTTGTGATTTAACATGGTGACCTATTTGCATGACACATGTCTTTTACGGTTCAACTCCCTAAACAATTTAACAAGTTGGATTTGACTGCTGCAGCTTGTGGTGACACACTTTATTGTGGTAAACTAAATAGAGATGATAATCTTAATCTAAGCCTCTCCACATCCTGAGTAACTGACTGCCCTTGTGTTCTAATCCACGTATATCAGCTTCATTACATGTTGGTTCTCAGCATCATAGAATTGCTATAATTAAATTGTTGTGCATACCTTTGCCTTTATTGAGTTGGCATATGAAAATATCATCTTGACTCATGATGGGTATTGGTAAATGTGATATTTGAACACAGGCAATGGCCCAAGTTGGAGGGTTGGTCATGCTGCAACCAGAAGTGGGTGGCTCCCGTGAGAATTTCTTCTTTGCGGGAATTGACAAAGTGAGGTTCAGGAAACCAGTGGTTGCAGGGGACACGTTGGTTATGCGAATGACACTTGTTAAACTGCAGAAACGCTTTGGAATTGCAAAGATGGAAGGGAAGGCATATGTTGGTGGTGAAGTAGTTTGTGAGGGCGAATTCTTGATGGCTACTGGAAGTGAATGATGCGCACAAGTGTGAATCTGTTGCCTTGTTCTTTTTTCCTCCATAGAGATTGCTTAATTTTGATTTCCAGCCTCCACCCAAAAATTATCAAAAAGCAAAAAATATCACCTGAAATTTTAAATTATTAGGACATATTGATGTCAAGCGCAGATTTCCTGCAGAACATGCTTCTTGAGACATGGCTGATTGCTTGTTGGCATCCTGCACCTCGGTTTTATGCAGAAGGTATTCTTTCATAGAAGAGTGCGACGGCAGTACCTAAAGTCCTAAACTTTAATATTTTAGGAAATGACAGATTAAACCGATTTTATTGCTTAAACACTCTCTGAGAAAACTTGTGTCAATTTCCTGTAGTCTGATCTCCACGCAAATGTTACTAAGGTGGATGATCCTTTCTATCTTGGATGGTTTCTCAACAATGACTTATATCTTTACTATTGGAAATTTGGATTCTCTTGAAAGAAGCTTTCAATAGGGTGATTACAATAGTATGATGAGACTTTTACACCCCATTCCATTGCCAGGTATTGATTGCACCATTCAAAGGTGGGGGCACCTTCAGTTTTTCCTGCATGTGAAAAAATAGCACTTTAGCTCAGTTCATAAAGAGTATAAATGCAAACATGTACAGTGTAAATACATATAAAATACAAGGTTTTATATTCTACATATTTGTATTAGTAACGCGCCTTTTATTTCCAATTTTTTGAGACCGAGTGTCTGTGAGACCAAAGAAAACTGAACACGGGATTAAGCGGTAAGAAATGAACCGAGAACTTACAACAGTTTGACAGGAAAAAAAGTAGCTCCCTATAATACAATAGCGGGATAAAATTGTTTTGTAGCTGACCCCAAATAGTTGGGTTTCTTCAGAGTGGTCATCAGTGTTTGTTGTCCTGCGTTTGATCCTAACACGTTGAGACCCGAGAGTAACAGAAATATGAATTTTTGGGTGAAACGAACATTAGACACCAATCATTCTTTTTCAAGGGGCACCAGCAGTTTATTCAAGGATAACAGAGTATGGAATCCAAAGGGATGGATGGATTATCTTTTAATATAAAAATATTATTATATTTGTAACAGTGCATATTTTGATGGATTCCACAGACATTTGCATGTAAAATATGCCAAAACCTTAAGTGATTTTTTTAGCAATGGTTGAATTAAAGAACATTTCAGGCTTTTTCACATGATTCGTTTCCTCAATATGTGGTCCAGAAGAAAATGGCAGTCAGTCATAATTGTTGGGTGAGAGCTTTTTAGTGATGCTGCAGCACAGCACCTACCTTTTGCTTGGGCATAACCAGAAACTGTGGCCTTTATGCAGCCATAATGCATAGCCTTTGAACATGCCCCAGTTGTGGGAAACATCCATTATTACAAGGAATTCAATGGAAGAGAATCTGACCTGCTTTTCCATGTAGCATTACGTCAATGTAATCACAGCCCCCAGTCAAAAGCTACCCCCCCTCAAAGTTCAATGTAAAAGTCCATAATCTTGAAGATGGTCCCTGGAATTTACGAGCAGTTGGTGCTTTTAATCATGAATCTTCTACTTCTTTCATGGCCTAAATGTATGTTACAGGTCCCAGCCAGCTGTCTGAAAAGCAATAGAAATGTAATCTTCAAATGGGTTAACTCTTATTTTGCTGTGAGGGCAACTCAGATTGTTCTGATTAGGCTTTTTTTTTTTTTGGTGGGATGAGGTGGTCCAGTATAATAAAACAATTCCCATCTTTTCTTTTCAGATGTCATCAATCTCAACTTGCCCATGTAAATCAACTTATATAGTGAGTGCATGGTTTGTGAAGATACATGGTGATAGTGGGATTGGTTCTTACAAGTATTCATTGTCTCAGAAGCGACATCACTATCTGAAAACCCACCACTTGTAAACACTAATTAAACGTAACTTCAAAGCATCATTCCTCTGATGATGATCAATGAAACCTCTAATACGTGGAGTTGTGGACCGTGTGGACTCCCAACCACCACTGTGAGTGTAAAGGGATCCCACTTAAAGGACCTCCGAACTCAGATATTGCACCATGGAATGGTTATTATTATAAGTTCATGAGAACAACTGTTGAAACGTGGGTTATTTCTGTTGTGAAAAATGTGATCCACCCAGTGCCAGAAGTGAGTTCTATTCAGTATTCACCAGGATGACACCAACGACTAGTCATCCAATTCAATCCCATTTATCATGTTTTTTGATCAGTTTTGACAGATGTAATATTGCAACATCTCCATAACATCATCCTCTTTCTTTCATGCAAACTTGTGGATTTCAAAGAATAGACAATGAGATCTGATGCTATCCGATCTGGAATACAAGGGCAATATTGAAAATCCGTTTGATATCTTGGCTGCTAAGGAGAACACTTGTGATTAGAAGAAGAGAATGTCCGAGGCCTAAAGCTAAGTTCCTGGGGGCGTCGGCTCTAATGGTCAAGCCATTGGAGGCAAAATGGAGAATGAGCTGAAGAGCTCTCTATATGAGATGAACGCATAGTAATGTGAGGTGAGCCAAAGTGTAGAAGAGGCATGTCGTTCACACGTGGTCGGTGGCTCGATCCACCTGTGATGCTTGTGGTTGACATGTTATATACACCTGGGCAGCTATGGGCCCGCCCTAAATGCGTTGGCGCTGGTGGTCTGATCAACTCGACCACATCCACATGTAGTATTTGGCAGTCCCAATTCCACATGTGGCATTCATCATACTTCCACCTAGATGTCCATGTGTCACTTCCTTTGGCTGCCTTAGCTGAACACGTTGCATGGGCTTGCATGCTTCGATCGGCTCGCCACGTCTTTGAATTATTATGCGATCAGGAGTTCGGATGGGCTCCCCAGTCCCCACAGCCCATCCACCCCATGCATTGGGTTTGGGTTTGAGTTTGGGAAGAGAAATTCCCGTTCTTCCATTCGATGCCACATGGCATCCTCCTACTGGCGGTCAATATTGGCTGCATCAAGAATCAAGATCAATGGTGGATAAGCTTTGAGTGGCATTTGATGTCTAGTCACTGGTTAGCCATTTTGTCACTCCAGACTCCACACTTCCACTGAGAGTTTTGTTAAGTGCAATATCACTATGTTGATGATAATGTTGTCTCCTACTGCACACCACCTTTTTTTTCATTCATTGTTTTGAACTTTTGATAGATAGACTGGATTTCACTCTTTTTTCATATTTGAGAACAAAGTCTGAAAGGGAGAAAGTGGGAATCTCCTTAGTCTTTACCATTTTTCCATCCAAGTGCAGTGTACTGACTGTGCACTCTTGTGAACGAAGAAAATTTGACCGTCATCTCATCTCGTTAATTAAGACATGTCCAAATTTACTTCTTTTAACCAGCCAACGGTTCAACCACGATGGTTAAACCTCTAAAACTAGGGGTGAATTCGAATCGAGCCAAGTCGAATATTTAGTTTTTCGAGTTAGATTCGTTGAAATTGTATTAGATTCAAGTTCGATTTGAGATAGAGATTTGAGCTTGAGTTCAATTGCAAGTAAAGTTTTCTAAAAAATAAAATTTAGGGTAAATTACAAAGAGCCCCCTATAATATGGGGTCTGTGACAAAAACCCCCTGTACTTTATTTTGTGACAAAGACCCCCTTTGTACTATGACCGTGAGACAAAGATCCCCTTCCGTTATTTTTCTGTTAAAATCTATCGTTGCAATATTTTTTAATCTTCATAGTACCCTTGTAATAAACAATTGGAAGAAAAACACTGTTCATCTTTCCCACCTCACATACATGAACAGAACAATAGCGGCGATAATCCCTTCTACCTCAGATTCCTTCACATTTCTCTCTCCTCTAATTTCTCTTCTTCTCCTTCCCCTTTCTCTCCACCCCTTTGTTCTTCCCGCTTTCCTCTGTTTTTCATTCCTCTCGGCCATAGCCGCCACAATGAGTAACAAAGTTGACCAACAGACAGGAAAATGCACTTTCTTCTGTAAGAGCCATGTTAACCTTATTATTCGACCATGATAAATCCAAGACCTCACCACTATGCCATGGAACTCATGCATAGGTTTCTCAGATAACCAAAGATTCTTCGAGGTAAAATGACACAAACTGATTATGACATTCTACCTATACTCCTAAGCTTAACCAATCTTTCTTTATGAGGAAAAAGAGGAGCTAATTCAGATGAACTATTCACCGTATAGTATACATACAAAGGAACAATATCTACAATATCATCCTCACTTGTTCTCTCGACGGAATCAAATTACCATTTTGGGTTCGGGAATTGGAGATTGCAAAGTCGAGAGATGGCATAGGAGTGGAAATCAAGAGCTGGGTTGTGGAGAATGAGGCTCGGTTCGATCGAGATTAAAAAATATTGTAACGGTAGATTTCAACGAAAAGTTAACGAAAGGGGGTCTTTGTCTCACGGTCATAGTACAGGGGGGTCTTTGTCGCAAAACAAAGTACAAGGGGGTCTTTGTAATTTACCCTAAAATATATACATATAAAAATATTTTTTATTTTACATAAAAAAATTAAGAATTATAAAAATTATTTATTATTATACATATAAAAAATAAAAATTTTTATATATTAAATATTATTATATATAATAAAAATTCTTTATTATATATATTTATATATTTATATGTATATATGTATGTATGTATGTTGTATGTATATAATAAACAATTATTTATTTATTATACTAGGCTCACAATCCTCACGAGTTGAGCTTCATTAGGCTTGAACTCGACTCAATTAGCAAACGAGCCTATATATCAAGCTCGAGATTGGCTCGAAGCTCGGCTCATAGCCACCCCTACTTCTAGTAAAACCCATTCCAAGACAATCAACACTTCACAATATCTCACCATGAAGTTGGGACTCATCATGTATGAAACGTGCGGTGTTATATTATGTTGGAAGCGTGTTGGAATATGCGTTTTGTTGAGAGACGATTTGGATTCCTCAAAGTATCGATATATATCATACTAGCGGGGACCAGTGCGATGCACAGGATTTATTAAGCGAAAGTTAAATAATAGAAAGAATCATTTACTAAAATACCCCTTATAATTTCATTGATTTACTAAAATCTACCCTATAGTTAGCATTTTACTAAAACACCACTTATAATTTGCACTGGATTTAATCAATCTTCCATTAGATAACAGTAAAAAATGATAGTGTTGACCCTAATGTTCATTTAAATAAATTTAATCAAAAGAAAATAAAAATAAAAATAAAAATAAAAATACCATTTTTGCCCTTAATAAGACATGAGCAACCACTCTATTGGCTATATTTGGTCGATTTTGTTTTATGTACAAAAAAGTGTTAAGGGTGTTTTTGGAATAAAAAATCATGGGCCTAACGGCAAGACAAACACTCCTTAATGGAATGTTGATTAAGTAAATAAGTTGTAAAATATATTTTAGTAAAATGAAAACTACAATGTAGGTTTAAGTAAATATGTAAAACTATAAGGTGTGTTCTAGTAAATAACCCTAATAG